TTAACTTAAACTTTGCTTGGGGAACCCTTTAAAAACTTTAAAAACTTCCATGTGTCTTTTTTAAAATTTCCCTTATATGTCAATTAGATGTTCTTACGGTCAGCAAGATGTTTGTGTGAAGTGCGATGTTTCCCATTGGGGTTATAGCGCATTTAGCTTTATTGCAAAATTAAGTGTAACCTTGCATCTTTAAAATTCAGGTGCGACATTAAGAGGCGACGGATTTTAACATTTTTTTAAAAAAATTTAAAAGGTAACGCTACTCGTTTAACGTTAACAAAATTGTTTGAAAAAAAACCATTTATAAACTTCCAACAAAAAAATTGGGTTTCGTCCCTGACTAACAAAAAAGAGAAAAAAAAAAACAAAAAAAACACACCAACGGTGCTTTTTTTTCTCAGTGATAGGGGAATTGATTGTTGAATTTTTTCACTGAGTAAACCCCAGATGGACACAATTTTTTTCACTAGGGGGCGTTGACACGAGAAAAAATTAATAGTATGTTAAAAATAAATTTTTGATCAATCTTATTTCTAAACAAATTTATTTTTGCTTCTTTTATTTCATGCTTTATAAGTGATTTTAAGTATTTCTACTGCCGAGTAACGTTTCACATTCTCCTATATGACGTTACCACATCACGACGCACATCATCAATTTTTAAATATAGTTCTGTTAAATTTCTCTAATTTTTTAACATGTTAACATGATGTAGATTCTTTGATGAAATCGACTTTCTTTTCTTAAAGAAGCAACATTTACGTATGACGGCATTTATTATTGCCTATTATTTAATTAAGTTATAATATCATTTTCATCCGCAGTTCGCTGCCGGTACAGACTCATAAGCAGTGATCTCCCCTTATCAAAAGAGATTACAATTTTGCCAAGGGGAGGTAATCATTGTGAGGAGTTTGCGGAATATCTAGCTCGAGGGTAACTGTTTACGGCGGTAACGAGGCTATGCCAGCTTCCGCTAAACAGTTACCTGAGAGCTAGACATTCCCGTCTGTACCGACGGCCAGTGTTTTTTTTTTCTTGCATATTAAATGTCATTTTTTTTGGAACAGAAAATAAGAAAAACTGATATTTTCATGACAGTACTGTTTTTTTATACATGTAGTAAGGCGATTATAAACTTACAAACTTAATTTCATAACGGTAAAATGACGTCGTCCTTAAAACGCTATGCATTCATAAAAAGGCGCGCAGCAATGACGTCATTTAAAGCGGAGCGGTGTAAGACAGGTTTTTTCTAGCACGCGATACGGTAAATAATCCTAGCTGTATGATATTCAAGAAATAGAAATCTTTGTCTGGCTACATTTGAAAATTATATTTTATAAATTTCCACTAGATCTAGTGATTATCAGAATATAATTATCTGATATATTACAGTTAAACGTTGAAAGCCATTAAATAAAGTAAAGTAAAAGCAAAATAGAATAGGGAAGCATAACTCTGCAAACACGCTTATCAGATTGTCTGCCCTTGTTCAACAAATATTTCACACAAGTTTGAAATGACTACCTTTTAACTCTATTTTAGGAAAAAAATCGAAGAGAAATAATAAAAAAAGAACGTATTTCAGGATTATCCACCTTTTCAAAACTTGTTTTAAAAAATTTAAAATAAAAACAAGTACTCCAATACTTGTTCAGTGGCCGGCTTGGTCGAGTGGTAAACTCGTCAGACTTAGTAACCTTATGATCGCTAGCCGCATTGGTTCAAATTCCCTCAGAGGCAAGTCGTTGTTTTCCCTTGAGCAAGAAACTTTACACTCATTGCCAAGTATGTCGGTTCCAGGATAACAATTGTGAAAGAGTGTCTTTAAGCTTAAAGCTTCCTTCACAATCGATCTAAAACAAATAATGTATAATTTAAGTACTCCGATTAAAAAGTAAAATATTTTTGATATATCTTCTTTTTTAGAACAGTTTCTTAACAAAAAAAGTATATTTAAAAAAAGATACTTGGACAAAGTAAAACTGGGTTATACCTTGGCCTATGTTTTTCTTAGTTTTCCATGGAAAATAGTATAGAAATGTTAGCGTAGTCTGCATAACAATGGCATAATATTTAACGTACCGTGTTACATTAATCTTGAAAATGTTACACTTGAAGATGTATGTATTTCTAAACTAACGCTTTTATGTTTCGGTAAGTGAACCCCCAGTTAGGTAGGCAATTATTTTCATAAATACTTGAGGATTTATGATAGAAAAAATCAATACGTGAATGTTTGATTAATTTTATTTATCAAAGTTTCGGATTACCGCTTTCAACAGGATAGATAATCAAAACAAACAACGGACGTGAGGTAAAATAAGTTACGTAACGTTAACATGGCGAAAAAAATACATATCAAATAGCGTATCTTTCAAGGTTTTAATTAAACAAAAGACAGAAAGCTAAGTTATATCTGGCTATAAAAATACATAATTTCCTTTAGAGAAATATTAATATTAAAAAAACTAAATATGAAAAAATAAACGTTTAAGCATACTCTTACAGAGTTATTATAGTAAAAATGCAAATCTGTTATCAATCGGCAGAAAATAACTTTTGTATGCATTCTTCTGGGGATATGTGTTGTAGTGTATGTCTGTAAATAAGACGGCCAATATCAATTTTCAATAGGAATATATGGGCATAAATGAAAAGTCACTGAATTTATGATCATTCAAATCAAAGTCATTCAAATTAAAGTGTGAGGCAATATTTTGTGGAAGATGATAGATCTATCAAATTTGTTACTATTCATTGAAACTGCATGCTTAGTTTGCCCAACATATTGCATATTGCATTTTTTACAAGTAATATGGTAAGCCACATTTTAGTTTGCAAGTTTGTATTGTTATGTCGTAGGGTTCCTATTTCCTAATCAAGGCGGGGGTGGGGGAGCTGTTTCGGCCTGTAATGACAAGGAAACAAATAAAACAATTTACTTGGAAGAAGGAAAAATCAACACAACTTCGTGGCGCAAACCAATGGAGGTATATTCAATGTGCGCATGCGTGCCTTCTAATCCGGGTAAGTAAATTTTAAGAGGCCTGCCAAGAAGAAATAAGTCGTTAAGAATTATAGAATGACTTAAGTGTTCCATGTTGCAATAAATGAATAGGATGAATGAAAATGAGAAAAATATGGGAAAGTGAATTGGACAACTATATAGGACATGTACATATATGATATAACAAATTGACAAAAGTACAGGGGATATAGACCTTTTTATTTTATGCTTTTCAGTGGTTTACTGATTTATCCGTGAAAATTATATTTGATAATTTCACAGTGAAAATTATCAAAATATAATTTCACTTTTTTCAATGACGAAACTACTTTTTTAAGGTTTTCCCCATGTTGTACCTCAATTTTATTTTTACTAACAATTCTGACAATGTCAGGCTGTTAAAAGAAATAGCAAAGCTGAAATAGATAAATAACTTGAATGTCAAAAGTAATAAAGAGATAAAACTTACTTCTATTCCTTCAAATTCCAATTACCAAATTTCGTCTCTAAATTTTTTGGTTGTTTTTACAGTCTAAAAAATACATTCCTTCCCCATGCAAAACTGCTCTTGATGACATTTGGGCATATTAAAGTGTCCTACGAGCAATAACTGCCGTACGCTTTATGAAAAATTGAAAAGCATTGACAGCCATCACTCGTAAAATAAGTAAAACAACCCAGCGTTCCTTCATGTCCTTAGCAAGCTTCCAAGTTTTCCATTTTCCTAGCTCCTTTCCAAATTATATCCTTCTGAATCTTACACAATTATTTTCCTCCCATGAAACAGACAACTTTAAAAAATGGCTGCCGCTTACATTTTACAAAGCCAGGTCTAATATAAATTCGCAGTAAGTAACAGAAGTATGGATGAATGGTTGGACTTTTTTTCCTACAAGAATTGTTTGTTTTTATTAGTAAAACAAGCGATCATTCATATTTTTGTAATAAAATGAATAAATTATCACCGTCATTTAACCTTGATTTGCGGACTTATTTTTCAGCTCAAGACTTCTTGTTTTAAATGAGAAATTCCGTCTAAATGGGGCTCTCAATGGGGGAAACAGATTTTAATATTAACGTTAAAATTATGGAAATTTCGTTTTAACTTGTATTTAAGCATAAAATAAAAAGAAAATTTGTCTGTTTTTGTTGTGTAAGATGTAATTTTATTTCATCTCGTGAACTTTAAAAACAGTATTCTCACTCATGGCTACGCCACTCGTGAGAATACTGTTTTTAAAGCCCACTCGATGAAATAAAATTTCATCTTACACACAAACAAACAAATATCCTCTATTTACACAACGATTTTTGCACTACCATATTATATAACTTGCCGATAGAAGCTTTACATACCGTCTTATCTAAGTTGCCAACACGAAATACAGTTTATTCCCATTGTTTACATACTGTAATTACCCAACTGACAGAAGCTGTGCATATCGATATATCCCACTTGCCGAAAGAACTATATAAAATGTTATTTCCCACTTGCAGACAGAAGCTATACATACTTATAAATTCAACTTGCCGAAATAAACTATATTTTAACTGGCCGACTGAAGCTAAACTTATCGTTGTATTCAATTTAGCCGAAAAAAGCTTATCAGACTGGCGTTTCCGTGAGTTTTACTTATGCCAGAAATTTAATCTGGCATGGGGGGTTCCAGATGAGTCGCGTGCTGTACAATGGCACGGTTAGGATGACGTTATTTTACAGTAATGAATGAAGTTGTAATTCATACGCTGTTGTAAGAAAGTAGTAAAGATAAAGAATTTGAAATATAATGGAATATGGTAGAATATACAAGAAAAAGCATCTGACATATGTTTGCGGTTCGGATCGGAATATCCGTCCTTGGGTCACCCGCCCATTGGCGGTAACTCGGCAAGCCTTGTTACCGCCCAATGGGCGGGTCACCTCGGGACGGATATTCCGATCCGAACCGCAAACATATGACATATATTATTAATATATACCGTAATATTCAACTTGCCGACCGAATTATACATACCGTTATACTCAACTTGCCGACAAAAGCCATATAAACTGTTATATACAACTTGCCGACAGAAGCTATATATACCATAACATACACGACAGAAGCTATGTATATCGTTTTTTTTTCAACTTTGCATACTGTCATAAGAAGCTATATATATCGTGATATTCAACTTGCCGACAGGAGATATACATACAACCCTTATATTCCACTTACCGTTTAGCTTATACATATTACCGTTATATCCAATTATCCGACACAAATCTCAGTTAAGAAGTAACCACTAACATATGATGTATGATAACAGTTGCCATATTAGTGTGCTGTGTGATAACAGTAACCATAAAAGTGTGCTGTGTGATAGCAGTAACCATAAAAGTGTGTATTATAAAAGTAACCATAAAAGTGTGCTGTATGATAACAGTTACCATAACAGTAACCATTAAAGTGTACTGTATGATAACAGTTACCATAAAAGTGTGCTGTATGATAACAGTGACCATTAAAGTGTACTGTATTATAACAGTAACCATAAAAGTGTGCTGTATGATAATAGTTACCATAACAGTAACCATAAAAGTGTGCTGTATGATAACAGTTACCATAAAAGTGTGTATTATGACAGTAACCATAAAAGTGTGCTGTATGATAACAGTTACCATAACAGTAACCATAAAAGTGTGCTGTATGATAACAGTGACCATAAAAGTGTGTATTATAACAGTAACCATAAAAGTGTACTGTATGATAACAGTAACCATAAAAGTGTACTGTATGATAATAGTTACCATAACAGTAACCATAAAAGTGTACTGTATGATAACAGTTACCATAAAAGTGTGGTGTATGATAACAGTTACAATAAAAGTGTGGTGTATGATAACAGTTACCATAAAAGTGTGGTGTATGATAACAGTTACAATAAAAGTGTGGTGTATGATAACAGTTACCATAAAAGTGTGGTGTATGATAACAGTTACAATAAAAGTGTGGTGTATGATACAGTTACCATAATTTTCAGAGGCATAAGGATGACAAGTGGATGCATAAGGAGCAAAAGAGGAAAAATATTTATTCTGTATTTAAGAATGCCCTGCTAGACATCTAATCATTCCGGCAGAACATTTTTACACTTATTTTCAGAATGCTCTGCTGGATTGCCTAGCCAGCTGAGAATTTTTAACACTTTATTTAGGAATGCCCTGCTAGATTGCTTAGCCAGCTGAGCATACCAGCAGAGCATTTTTACGTTTATTTAGGAATGGCGTGCAAGATTGCCTAGCCAGCTTAGCATTTCAGCATTTTTACACTATATTTTGGAATACCCCGCTTGATTGCTTAGCCAGCTGAGCATAACAGCAGAGCATTTTTACACTTTATTTTGGAATGTCCCGCTTGATTGCTTTGCCAGCTGTGCTTACCAGCAAAGCGTTTTTACACTATATTTAGGAATGCTCTGCTAGATTGCTTTCCCAGCTGAGCATACCAGTTAAGCATTTCTAAACTTTATTTTGGAATGCTCTGCTGGATTGCCTAGCCAGCTGAGCATTTATAACACTATATTTAGGAATGCCCGTCTAGTTTGCTAAGCCAGCATAGCAATTCAGCAAAGCATTTTTACACTTTATCTTGGAACCTCCCGCTAGATTGCTTAGCCAGCTGAGCATAACAGCAGAGCATTTTTACACTATATTTAGGAATGCCCTGCTAGACTGCATAGCCAGCTGAGCATACCAGCAGATCATTTTAACTCTTTATTTTGGAATGCCCCGCTTGATTGCTTAGCCAGCTGAGCATAACAGCAGAGCAATTTTACACTATATTTTGGAATGCCCCGCTAGATTGCTTAACCAGCTGAGCATAACAGCAGAGTATTTTTACACTTTATTTTGGAATGTCCCGCTAGATTGCTTATCCAGCTAAGCTTACCAGCAGAGCATTTTTACACTTTATTTAGGAATGCCCCCGCTTGATTGCTTTGCCAACTGAGCATACCAGTAGAGCATTTTTACACTATATTTAGGAATGCACTGCTATATTGCTTAGCCAGCTGAGCATACCAGTAGAGCATTTCTAAACTTTATTTTTGAATGCTATGCTGGATTGCCTAGCCAGCTGAGCATTTATAACACTATATTTAGGAATGCCCGTCTAGTTTGCTAAGCCAGCTTAGCAATTCAGCAAAGCATTTTTACACTTTATCTTGGAACCTTCCGCTAGATTGCTTAGCCAGCTGAGTATAACAGCAGAAATTTTTTTACACGATATTTAGGAATGCCCGTCTAGATTGCATAGCTAGCTGAGCATATCAGCAGCTCATTTTTACACTATATTTTTGAATGCCCCGCTTGATTGCTTAGCCAGCTGAGCATACCAGCAGAGCATTTTTACGCTATATTTTGGAACGCCCCGCTTGATTTCTTAGCCAACTGAGCATACTGGTCAGCAGAGCATTTTTACACTATATTTAGAAATGCCCTGTTAGATTGCTTACCCAGCTGAGCATATCAGCAGATCATTGATTTCCCTATATAAATCGTAATGCCTTTTTGCTTAGCTCACTGTTAACTGCTAACTTCTCGCATACGTTTATAATTCACATCATCAAGCTGTTATAAGGGCTATTATGAATATCATATAATCTATTATCTATATTATTTAATGCGGACATTTCAATTTACCTTATTTTAGGCAATCTTCTATAAATAATTACAAACTCAAATAATCAAACACTTACAATCACTACATATGATCTTATGTTGGTAGTTTTCAGTTATATTTCCAGGCCTTTTGGGATCATTGATCCAAGCACATTAAATGTTGAAAATTGAATACCGCTTTAAAAGCCGATGAAAGGAGGCGCAGAGGATGTTGCACTTTTCTATTTTCCATCATAAAAAGACTCAATCAAACGGAGTCTGCAATGTTGGTGTAATTTGTTGACTTTTCTCCTGAGGGATCACCCCAATTTTAGACGCGTACATATATAATTGTTAATATACATACCATCAATGAATAGTTTTGAACAACACTTTTCATTTTTTTTTAATAAATTGTGACTTTGACAGGCAACAAAGATTACCACGACACGAATTATTCACAACTTATCGACACATTTTCATGTCAAAGTCGCATCGGAAACCGTACTCTCCTGCGCATCGGTCGAATGTTCCACTATCACTCACTTTCTGAAGTAACGTGAGTGTATTCAGTGAGCTGCGAAGGGAGCGTATGGAAACCGGAGAAAAGTAATCTGGCAAATTACTTGGACGGCAAAGCCGCCCTTGTCCATGTTGTCACCTGATTTGATGCCACTTTATCTCAAAGATATTATAGCAAGAAGGATGTTAATAACTCCAACACTCCGAGAAAGACGACAGACAAAGAGCACTGTTTTACTTAATAAGATGGTTGTGCAGAATTAACTTACCCTTCTTGTGATTTTGATATTTTCTCTCCTCTGTTTGTACTGATGAATCGGTTTCGCTACTTTTCTCTGTTATGAAATACAAAAAAATAATAGTATATTGAAATAAATCAATATCATCACTTTATATTCAAAACTATTTTTTTCTAAATATATATTTGGCCAAATGTATGAAATTTCAATCATTTGACTCCAAAGGTCAATGTCATACACTTGAGGATTGTATTGTTGGCGGTATTTATTCCAATGTAAATTAGATAAGTCTATTAATTACAAAATTATGCAAATCTTAGCTAAATTCAATGATTTGACCTAACCTGTTAAGGTCAATGTAAGGTCAATGACATACTTGATCTGCTTAACACGATATCTATATGGTTTGTCCGAGTATTTAGAACTCCATTGATAAACAATCTATGTCAAATTGTGAGGAAAAAAAATATACCAGTCAAGTTTGTATGAACGCCAAGATAAAGTTCAGTTTGACCTACTTGAAGAAATTAACTCAAAAATTGATATGCCCTATGGTAAGGTGACAATTACGAAAAGAAACTAATCTATTTATAGGGGCTACCGGACCCTTTTTAACAAGACATGTCATGTACCAAAATGTTCTCAAATGTTTGTAGTTTCCTAATCTGCCGGCATAAATTGGCATATATTGTGGCGAACAGAGAAATCCAAGATGGTGTCCAAGATGGCCGCCAAAATTATGAAAATTGCCACTTTGTCACTATTACTTAATTTCTAATTAAGGTTTGCAATTTATCTAAGTTGCATTTTGGTCACCTATGCCCCCATACCGGTGACAAATTTCATGCTCCGTTAGCTTTATCTTTATATATTTTGGGCAGTTTGTATAATTAAAACAAACCAAAACGGAAGTGACGTAACGTCATTGAGCGATGCCCGTCGTGTCGTTGTATGCCGTCTGTCACATATTTTTCACAGATTTTCGATTGTCTTTCACTATTTCCGTTTTCCAAGACAATAATCGAAAAGACCCTGATTGTGTCCCCGTCTGTGCTACCAGAACTTTGTATTTGGTCCGTATTATTGTCAGTTTTTATATTTTAGGCAGTTAATATTATATATCCTAAACATTTATTATTATTATTATTACATATCTATCAGTAATTGATCAACTGACATTTATATGGTCGATATTTTGAAAAATATAGCTAATACACCTCAATTTTACAGCAACAACTTTTACACATTATGGGTGTCCGTACGAAAAAAAAATATTGATGTATACATCCTTTTAACTGCAAATATTTCTCGTTAAACAACTTTTAAGCATGACATCTATTTTCAATTATTGCAAGGCGAAGTGATTTTATTCTTGTTGATTTTTCCTGTACTTTATTAATCATTAAAGTGTGATGTATGATAACAGTAACCATAAAAGTGTGATGTATGATAACTGTGACCATAAAGTGTGGTATATGATAACAGTTACCATCAAAGTGTGCTGTATGATAACAGTTACCATTAAAGTGTACTGTACGATAACAGTGGCCATAAGTATGTTATCATTCATCACACTTAAATGGCAACTGTAATCATATTTCACACTTTTATGGTTACGGTTATCACGCATCACACTATTATGATCACAGTAACCATAAAAGTGTGATGCGTGATAACAGTAACCATAAAAATGTGATGTATGATAACAGTTGCTATAAAAGTGTGCTGTATGATAACAGTTGCCATAAAAGTGTGATGCGTGATAACAGTTGTTATAAAAGTGTGCTGTATGATAGCAGTTGTCATAAAAGTGTGCTAAAAGATAACAGTGACCATAAAAGTGTGATGCGTGATAACAGTTGCTATAAAAGTGTGCTGTATGATAACAGTTGCCATAAAAGTGTGATGCGTGATAACAGTAACCATAAAAGTGTGATGTATGATCACAGTTGTTATAAAAGTGTGCTGTATGATAACAGTTGTAATAAAAGTGTGCTGAAAGATAACAGTGACCATAAAATGTGGTATATGATAACACCATTAAAGTGTGCTTATCATAAAGGTAGTAACATGACATCACAGTAGTCATAATATTTTTTGGAGTACTTTAACGATTTTGGGACAGTAACATGTATCATAAAACTGACATTAGGGTTGATTAAGCGACATTTAAGGTAAGATCCCCTTATGCATTACCTCCGCCTTGAAGAGTATTCAAATAGGCTGGAATTACTGTCAATTGCATTGAAACTGAGGGAGGGACATAGGTTCAACCCCCAGAAGGCTTTGAAAACAGCCCCTCATTATTGTACGTTTTAGGGATATTTAGAATATGGCTTTTTAAGTTTAATCTTTTACTTCATATAGACGTGTTTTAACGACTTTTTGTCCCCACTTTTTGAGGCCTCAAACAATGAAAAAAAACGCCCTATGTAGGCCCCAAACACTATTTTTCGTTTGGGAAATGTTGCTAAAAAAGTGATCCTATCAAAAAGATACATCAGGGGGTTGCCAGTAGGATGTGAACCCTTCTGTTTGGGGGGGGGGGTTGAAGGGGGCGGTAGACCCCCTCATGGCAAAGAAAATTGTGGACTTGTGAGAGGTAATGTGCAACCAACGCTGAAAAGCCTTTGACTCTATCTCAATCCATTGAGAAGTTGCAGCACTTTGAAACCAGTTTTGATGGAAAAAATCATTGCAAAATAGTGATTTTTGGCAAATTTAAGACCCCCCGCTGCCATGGTAACAGGATATCAACGGTTGATCATGCTGTTACAATGGCAATGGTCTAGTCAACATTTGTGCCAAGTTTGATTAGTATTAGAACATTTTTCATAATTTCATAGCAGTTTTAACTTGTAACAAGAGTCTTTTCAATGAAAACGGCCATTTTTTCACAATATGCTCATGAGGGAAAGGGTTAAAGTGATGGGAGTATTGTAACACTTTTATACAAATTTCAAACATTTTGTGTAGAAACAATTATTTTGCTTGTGTGATTTGTTACCTGGATGCTATTTTTTGTTTCTTAACAATGACCAGTAGGAAAACTTTTGATGATATATTATAGATTATTTAAAAATTCCTTATTTCTGAAAAAGAGCCCTTTTAAAAGAAAAGTTTTATTTCAGAAAAATATCGATAACTCATAAACCGTACGGCAAAACCTTAATAGTCCAGATTATTCTTGTGAAAATGAGACAATTACTGTCATGGTAATTGCGACATCAAGCGTTTATTGCGACATCAAGCGTTTATTGCGACATCAAGCGTTTATTGCGACATTTAACGTTCATTGCGACATTAAACGTCAACCTTGCAACATTTAAATTCAGATCCGACATTTAGAGGCGGCATGACTTTTAACGTTGCTTCAAACATCTTCCAATTTTTAAGGTACATGCTACTCGATAACGTTAACAACAACTGTTTGAAAATAAAGAACTTAAATGATACATCGTTATTTAAAATAAAACTTTTGAAGTAAGCTTTCGTGTTTGATCAAAGATATGAAAGATATAGGATTCGAGAGTGTTTCAATAAGCTTACAGCTTCCAACACAATCGAACTAAAATATATTTGTATAAACTAAAGATATGAAATTTGTTGGAATAAAAGATAAGAACACACGATAGCACTACTTGACATTGACTTAGTCAAATGACATTTCCTGAAGAAAAATGATAAATTATCATTATAAACTTCCAACTGTTTTACGTCGATAAAGATAAAAATAGAAATAAAAACAAGAGGGCCATGATGGCCCTGAAATCGCTCACATGTATATAGTCCCCCGGAGCGGTGCCAATTTTAACCCGGGGGCTTTTATTTGAACAAACTTGGTAGACACCTATTTAAAGATGTTCCATGATAAATATCTAATATAAGCTCTAGCTGTAAAAAAGATCTTTTTAAGTTTTTACTGTGTACATAAAGGGAAAAACAATGACCCCCTGGGTCGGAGCCAATTTTGACTCAGGACTTTTATTTGAACAAACTTGGAAGACATTCACTAGAAGATGTTTCATGCTTAATATCTAAGCTCTAGCTCTTTGGGCTTTTTAAATGAAGATTTTTAAGTTTTTAACTATATACAAATAAGGAAAATCAATGACCCCCCCTCCGGGGCGGGGCCAATTTTTACCCCAGGGCATTTATTTGAACAAACTAGGTAGACACTGACTAGATGTTTCATGCCAAATATTTAAGCTCTAGATCTTTGGGTTTTCTAAAAGAACATATTTTAAGTGTGTTTTTTTATGCCATGGCAACCAGAGTTCTGCTTGGAATTAAATTCTTTGAACAATTTTTAAAGTTGACTACCGAAGGAACATTCCTGTGAAGTTTGGATGAAATTTGCTTAGCTGTTAATGAGGAGATGTCGTTTAAAGTAAAAGTTTACGGACGGACGGACGCCGGATGAAAAGCGATCACAAAAGCTCACCATGCCACTTTGTGACAGGTGAGCTAAAACACATCAACGCGTGTTTTATTTTTGTTAGTGAGGGATAATAAAATAAAAGCAACATATAATAACTCTGCAAACATGCTTATCAGATTATCTGCCCTTAAGAGTAAACAAATATTTCTCAAGTTTTAAGTGAAAACCTTCAACGGTTGCGCGATAGATCAGTTGGTTAGACCACTGACTCTCTTGAGGTTCAGGGTATTAAATAAGAGCTAGGGACTGGTTTCCGGATTCCACTGTATATTTAAGCTGTTTCTGAAGTGACTAGTCTATAGTCATGTCTACGTCCCCGCGAAGGGTTTTTACATTAATGGAAGATAGATAGAACGGTTTCTTTAGAAAAAAAAAAGCCAAATATTCTTTGTCAAACAGGAGAAATAATAAAGCAAAAATGTATTTCAGGATAATCAACCTTTCCAATAGTTTCAAGTACCTCAAGTAGAAAGTTAATACATTTGATACTCTTTTGAGAAAACAATTTATAGCAAAAAAAAAAAACACACACACAAAAAAAAAAACAAAAAGCAACAATTATTTTTATAAATACTTGAGGATTTAAGATAGAAAAATCAACAACAACACCTGAATTTTGATAAATTGTTATTCATTAACGTTTCAGCTAATGCCT